TTGGCGAGGTTGATAATTCAGGTGGGGAAGTTGATGAGGGCATTGTTTGTTTGATACGTTTAGACGACGGTGTATCTTTGTCGATGCAAAGACTTTGATGTTAGCGATACATGGGATGCTTTTGATTTTGATGTCTATATGTTTTTTTTCCAGTGGCGAGATGGAGGAGAAAGGAGGACAAAGGTCTGTCTATGGATGTGAATTGTTGTCGTTGTTCGCCGTGGCATGCGCGACACTGGGCTCATCGGCGACGAGCGGTCAACGCCGAACTCTAACTGTACTGCCACGTGCGTTTGCTTAGAACAACAAAAAGGTCTGACGTCAACTTGATACCGACGACGACGAGGGGAAGAAATCAATCAACGAATCCCTTCAACGTCTGATCGCTCTTCTCTTTTGACTCGACTTCTCTTCATTCCCTCTTGTTCATCACAGAATGCCTACTGGATATCGTCTTGAAATCGCTTCCCGTAGTCAGGCGTCGTGCAATGGTCAGCTTCCCCGCAGCAAAATGAGTCTGAAAGAAGCTGACCTTGTCCAACCCAGGTCGCAAGCCGTGCAAGGGTAGTAAGATTGAAAAGGGCACTTTACGCTTGGGCACTTGGGTAGAGATCCAAGGTCATGGTGCATTCAAGTGGAGACATTGGGGATGTAAGCCTGTCGTTCGTCGTACGGATGAGCTCATGAGTAGGTACTACGCCCGAGGTGATTGGTCACTTGAAGAGGGACTTTGAGAAGCCTTCAGATGTGGATGGATGTGAGCTCTCTCAAGACGACCCACCGCATCTGACAGCTGATATAATTCCTTCAGTCGAGGAACTCCCGTCAGTCTAGACTTTTCATTTCCGGGAAGCAGAATGTGCTAATGTGTGTAGAGAGATGTATCAGGAAAAGGTGATCATGGCAATTTCTCCCAACATCATCATTCTAACTGACGACTGACGAATTGTAGTTCATCAAAGCCTGGGAGGTAGAGCATGGTATGTTTCTTCCATCGTCAATTTCTGACTGTCGTTCTAGTTGAAGATGAGGATATCCCTGCAACAGCTCGACTTCCAACTCCACCTCCAGGAGAAGAGGGCGAGGCTGAAACTCCCAAGAAGAAGACCCCGAAGAAGGCCAAACAGCCAGCAGATGGAGAGGCCGATGGAGACAAACCTAAAAAGCCCAGAAAAGTAAGTTTCCCATGATGGATGATTGGCTCATGTCGAACAGACTACCAAGAAGGTGAAGAAAGAGGATAGCGCGAGCGAGTTGACCGAAGACGAAGAGGAGAAAGAAGAAAAGCCTAAGAAAAAGGTCAGCTAGTTCAAAAGTTCCATAATATACGGTACCCAAGCTGATACGTTACAGGCACCCGCAAAGAAGGCTAAGAAAGAACCTGATCTTGAAGAGGAACATGTCCCGGCCAAGGTCAGCTACCTGCCTCATTGCCGAGAAATCGCAAGCTGACTTTACTAGGCCAATGGTAAGAAGGGGAAAACTGGCAATGACGATGAAGAAGTAAAGCCCGCCAAGGTGAGATAGCGCTACCTCTCTACTTGTGCTATAGTCCCCTCCACCTCTCAACATATATTCTGGTAACGGCCATTAACAAGCTAACCCATTTCAAGTCAAACGGCAAGCGAGGTAAAGCTGTCAAGGAAGAGGTGGAAGAAGATGAGGAAAAGCCAGCCAAAGTACGTTAATCTCCCCTCTTCAGCAGCCAGTCGTCATCAGCTGATCATTCATAAGGCTACCAAGAAACCCAAAATTGCAAAAGCCAAAGCAGAGCCAGCTGCTAAGCCTGCCAAAAAGCGGCCGGCCAAGACTGTCGTGAAAAGTGAATCCGAGGAGGAGTAGCAATGATAATGATAATGTTTGGGATAATACCTGTCTATAATGGTCGTGACTGGACTTCAATGAATATGCCGTAGCACAGGTCATGTACAGATTGCACTCTAGTATTTTCATGAGCATTCTTTCACAACATGGACTCCATATCTCTCGGCAGGCAGATTCAAACAATTCATCCGGTACGATTTTCCAATAATTACGGCAAGCTATATAAGACGAGAGAAAACGTTCATTTGGTTACGCAGATTTACGCAGAAAAAGACGCAGAACAGGAAAGGGAAGAGAGATGTGTGTATAACGAGCCTATTCGTCCGCTACAAAACGAGTCAGCTATGATATTCTGAAAGTATATGATTCGATCGCCGTTCTTCAAGCCTAACTACTACCAATGGAAGAAGCCTTTTGTAAATGTTTTCTTTTGGCTCAACCCCTGCCCGTGAGTCGACTCAAAAGTCCGCCCTTGTGGTCATCTGAGGCCGGGGCGTCGGGGGTCTCTGGCTCGGGGGCTGGGCCGGCACCATCGGTAGTAGTTACGGGCGGCGGAGCTTGAACGACTTCTCCAAGAGATGCCGATGGGTCTTCGCCACCGCCACCGCCGGTTTCCGCAGCAAGAGAAGAGGCCTCACCAGTTGTGGGCTCCTCCTCTTCCTTGGCAGGAGCCTTTTCCTCGCGACGTGAGAGCTTTGGAGCCGAAACATCGGAACCGATTGCCGCTTCTGGTCCAAGCTCGGGTCTCTCCTTCTTGTCAAGCTGATTAAAAGTCAGCAGCTGCTAAATAGAGAACAATAGGGTAACTCACTGCATAGCCGTTAGGGCCAACCTCAATGGGAGCAGTGCCCTCGGTCTCGTACGCTGGGACCTCTTCGTGCTCCTCGGTGGCAGGTGCGGCATCGTGAGCCTCCTCGTCCTCAGCCTCGACAGAGCTGCCCTCTTCTTCCTCGTCATCCTCCTCTTCCTCTTCCTCGTCGGAGCGGTAGCTATATTGTCAGCACAGTTTAACAAGATTAACTCACCCAACAGACCGAACGGCCTGGGCAACGGGTCCATCACGCTCCATCTGCTCGGATGCGACGAGGTACCTCGCTACAAGCATTCTCAGGTCATTCCAGACCTCCATCATCTCCTCGTGACTCCTAGCACGGAAGGTGAATGCAGTGTCACTGCCACCGAAGAAGCCCTTGCCGCCGGGCGTCTTGCCAACCGCCGAGGTACCGTCTTTGCGGCCCTCGATGTGGAACTTGTGCGATTTGGCCGTTTGCGCAGACGAAGGTGGGCCGAGAGTGCAGGCGGGCAGGAACAGGGACCAGATGGGGTGGGTAGCGGTAGTTGGGTCAGACGAAGCGTACTCGTGCAGGTAACCAGCAGGGGTAAGGACGTAGAATCCCTCCTTGTACGATTTGGTGAATCGCTTCTTGCGCTCGAGCAAGCCAGTGTGAACTGGAGTGACGCTTGGGTCGTTCTTGCCTGGGTAATCGATCATGTCTGGGTTGCGCAGAGGGGTCTCTGGGTCGAGCAAGTGGTCTGATCGTGCGGCAAACGAGATCCACTCGCGATCGGGCATGAGCTGCGACATGTTGACGCCGAGTTGACGCCAAGTCTCCTGAACAGAGGTGGACATGCGAGACTGCCATTCGTCAAAGGTCGACCAGGCTGACTGGATCGATCGGACGATACCCTCCTCAAAGTGAGCCGAGTTCTGCTGCATGATGATGATGGACTTTTGGAGCGAGTTTTCCTCCTGGACCTGCTTCTGCAGTTGCTTAATGACAGCCATGTTGACGGCGAATGGATCTTCCCTTGCCGACACCTGCATGGGGGTGTGGTTGACATTGCCGATAGCACGGGCGAGGTCAGAGATGACCTTTGTGGACATCTCGCGCTCACGGGCGACCGAGGCGGCGAGCTTGCCAGTGTCGTTCTGGACATTCTTGAGGTGCGCCTTGATTTCGGTGCGGAGCTTTTGGAGGTGCTGCACGATCGACGACTCGATGGTACGGGCGAGCGAAGCGTGAGAGTCGGCAATCACGCGGGTTTTGTCGCGAATGGTGTAGAAGACATCCTGCATACCGCCTTCGCCCAGGAACTGATTTCCAGGTCGGAAAGGGACTTGAATGACAGCGCCAAGTTTGGTGAGCTCCTTGGAGGTGTTGGCTTCGATATCGGCGACACCCTCAAAGTAGGCTGCACGTCAGCACTGACGGTATTGGGTGGGGGCTTACAGATCAGCATCTTGACGATCTGCTTCCACGCAGTGAACCTCTCGATGAGGATATCGGAAGGCTTGAGCTCATGTGGGGCAGTGTTTTTCTTGATCTTTCGTTCACATCAGCACCGCTCACCTCCTTCGTGAGGATTAAGGGGCAAAGGACTCACGAGAGACTGGTTGCGAGAGATGGTGGATCCTGCCTTGGACTCGGTGCGGGAGAGAGTATCGAAACGAGACATGGTAGATAGAGGATAGGAGGATAAGATGAAGGTAGGAAAGAAAGAAGGATGTAAAGATACGGAATGAGGGGAGTCAAGAGGGTCAAGAGGCCGTCGCCTAGAGTGGGCCTCTTTCCGGTTATTTCCCTGAAAACGTCCTAAAAGGCAAAAAACCACAAGAGGGCAAGTGGCATGACGTAGTCGGATTGTCCGCATGTGGGAGTGGCGCGTCAATAAAATCGCATCGGCCCTCACCGCCCCCCTGGGAAATCTCCCCGCAGTGTGGCCCAAAAGGGGAAACATACCAGTCATTACACCAGATCGGGTCGTAGCGAGTCCCAATGTGGCACTTTCCTCGACTGCAAGATGTCATCGCTCGGTCAATGTCGTCGTTGATTACCATTAACGATTAGACTGGCTAGTGGGGGCCACATGAACACCCTGTACGAGCTACACGCCGAATCGGGTCATCTACCCTACCTGGAAACCGGGCATGGATGGACAATAATGGACGCATGAAGATGCTCGAGATCCACAAAGAGTGTGCTAAACAGGAGAACAGGAGCGCCAGTCCATGCTTGGCAACGACTTTCCCTGTTTTGAGGGCCGATTCCTGCCCCGTGAATTCTACTGGCTCACAGTGCGAGACGGGCGGCACACGCAGTCGTCAGCACAATCACAAATGCATGCATGCTTCGAGCAATACGGTGCACACAAAAAGACAAAAAGACAAAAACAATAGTTCCAGACGGGATTTGAACCCGTGACCTGCAGATGATTGTAATACGTAAATTGCAATCTGACTATCTACCCCTGATATACCGGAACTATTTCAACTTTTCAGGTTGTCCCAAAATGAATATAAACCGGTTTTCCTGAGCAAATTAGCGCCCGCAATAACAGTTTGTTAATGTCGCAAGCTATGTTGATATATTGGTGGCTACTGAGTAATTGTTTCACGACTCCACAGCAGATGATTGTCAGCAGGAAAAGAATGAAATGCCAATCGCTGCAAAGTCGAAATTTGTGACTCAAATCCCTGGGATGATAATAGCGATCCATTATGAGTTGTGAGGTGATCTTCATCTCAGCAAAGATCCTCGAGGCGAGGCAGTACATGATGCTCACAATCCGTGTTCCTTGACTGGAAACGCGGTCCGTGGGTGTCGGATGAATGGGGCGCCCTGAGCCGACTGCGCGATCTATGGAATCGCCACTCGTAAAAGGATTGTCGGTCTTCTCACTTCAACTCTGATAACTGGTCGCGGACGTGGGAAAGATATCACCTATGCATGATGTGATCCAACAACAACAACATCTCAGTACTTTACACCTCCAACCCATCCAACTCTTCACCATTAGCTCCTCCCACTTCAAACTTCCTCTTCCCACTCTTGGTCTTATCCTTTCCGACAGCTCTCACGTCTCTCCCACTCTTCTCTCTCAACGCATCGACATCGACTCCATCGCCCTCCTTAGCCCACTCAAGCACCAAGTGACGTCCGAGCAAATGTGTGTGCTTGAGCGCTTCCATTGCGCGCACAGCTTCGGCGTGCGTCGTGAATTCCAAGAAAGCGAATCCACGAGTTGACGACGAGCCCGATGAAGTCGGTAGAGACTTTTTCGGTACTCGAAGTGATTTGAGTGTACCGTATGCACTGACCATGTCAGTCCAAATTCACGGCAAGAGCAAACAAACATAAGAACATAAGACTCACCTGAATAAATCCCGAACATCCTTCTTACTCGCCTCGAATGGCAGATTCTTAACGAGGACCTTGGTAGATTTCGTCTTCCCTTTCATCTCCTCAGAATCCTTTTCGTCCGCACCTCTCTGGGCAAACTTGACTTCCAGGTCTTTACCATCCACTTCGAATCCTCGCAGACCAGCCAATGCCTTGGTAGCGTCCTGCTTGGTCTTGAACCCGACAAAGCCATATCCCATGGACAAGCGCTCTCCTGGTCGCTTTGGATCGGGCTTCGTCTGTACTCGTGCAAAGCTAAAGCCGGGTAATGACGATAAAAGGGAGATGAGGCGAGGTGTAGTGGTGGAGAAGTTCAGGTTCTTTAAGAACAGAGTTGCTCCAGCTTCGTCAGTCTCGGCTGGAGCGTCGGGGGCCGCATCCATTTTCTCAGCAAGAAGAGCTCGTTCATCTTCTACTTTGGTCGAGCTCTTGAGCGTCGTGAACATGCCAACTGGTCCTTTTTCAAGGTAAAGCACAGCATTCCCAAGACGCCTATAGTTAAGCGCTTTGAAGGCTTTAGCAGCGTCTGATGGGTTCTTGAATTCGACAACCCCGAGTGTCCCAGATGGCGGAAGAAGCAGTCGAGTAATATCTCCGTGAGACGAGAAGAGATCGCTCAAGGCTTCGGTCGTCGTGCCAAATGGGATGTTCTTCACAAGGATCGTAGTCTGAGATCGAGGAGTGCGGGGACTTAGTGCTTCCAGTACGATACCAGCATCTTCAAAGTACTTCTTGGTCTCCTCGATGACATGCGTTTCCGCAAGTGCGAGCTTGACAGCGGGATTTGAGTCGTCTGACGAGGAGAGTAAGTCGGATTTAGATATATTCAATCGCGAAGCTATTGAAGATGCTACAGCATCGCTCTAATCATCAGCAGAGAAGTAAGGTATCTACTCACGTTCATATACATTGTCGCCCAGTTGACACCCTTCGATCCTTCGTCTTTCCGCCTCGCATCGACCTTTCCCTTGACCTCGCCTCTGGACTCCGCAACCTTTCCCAGCACTTTGCCATCGACCACACCCTGTACGCCGCTGTTTTCCTGCCCTGGCTTGGCTCGTCCTGGAAGAACATGCAATAGTCGACCCTGGAAAGTAGTCTTGTCCAGCGCTTTATATGCCGTTAGGGCATTCGCGGGATCATGGAAGAGAATGAAAGCCGTGCCGAGAGGTTCGCCAGTGGTCTGACTGACGGGAAGGTGGACTTCATCTATTTGTCCATAGGGCGAAAAGTGATCTGATAAGTCGGCGGAAGTAGTGACAAAGGCGAGATTCCGAACGAACAGTCGTCCAGTGGATAATATCAGTGACTCGTCAGGTGCCTGTGGCTACAAATTAGTCCATCTTATGTGGTACACTCACTCTTTGCTCTGACTCGGTCCCCTCAAGCGCAGCTGTCTGTCGTCTCCTTAACCATGCCGCATCATCGTCCATCTCTTCGACTTGAGCCGGGACTTCGACCTCGGCCTTTCCCTTGCCCTTTTTCGAGCTGTCCTTCTCCTTCCGCATACCATCCACCGTCCATCCCTCTTCTCCCGGTACGGCAGCATCGGCACTCTTTGAACTCGATGCGACTGGCTCGTCAATGCCTTTCATGACACTCATAAACTCTTGCAGCTGTTTCGAAGGGGCCTTCACTGCGTCTGAAGGTTTGTCATCAGGGATAGCTACCTTGACCCGTTTCGCAGGTCTCGGTGCCAAGGGCTTTTTACGGATTAGCTTTCATATCTGTTTGAGAGCCGATGAGCTCACCTCATCTCGGACAAAGTCAACTTTGACCTTCCCTCCCCCAAGCGCGAAACTGCCATCAAACCATTCTTTGACCTTTCGAGCTTCATCCTCTGTCTTGTAGCCAACAAAAGCAAAGCGCCTTCTCGAGACGAGCTTGGCATCGGTAATGGTAGTTCCCGCAAGAGGAGCAGGAGAGGTTAGGTGAGAGTGGAGCTGGTCAGAGGTAAATGAAGACGGCAAGTTGGTGAATATGAGACGAGACCTGAAAATGGATTAGAAACGGTAGAACCATGACTATGGACTGGACTTACATGTTGGCCTGACAGGTCTTGAAGAGATCTCAAGTATTTTTGCGTTGAAATCTGTCAATAAAGTTACCGGTTGCCACTGCAAAATCTCAAATCTCCCACAGTCGACAGTGCCGCACGGTCGCAGGCCTCGGACTTAAGGGTAATCTTATTACCGACATTTCCCGTATAAATTCTTGTGCCACTCAGACGGCATTGCGGCAATTCAGCTCGACCTCGCTGGACCTCCGCGTCGCTCAATTTGAGCTAGATCTTCAGGTGTAATAGAGGTTTTTCCATCCATATTCAAAATGCCCGGTGTTCGAGACGTCAGGTGAGTTTCAGTGGTTCTTGAGGCAACTGGGGGAGTCGAGGACGTTCCCGGCATGGTCAGCAGGTATTCAGCAAGATGCAGGTCTCGGCGATCTCGAGAAAGTTGAAGGTGTTATGAAGTGGAAGCCTGAGTCTGTGTTGCTGTGTAAGAGGAAGTAGCTTCGAGGATTGGCGGCTATGATTGAGCGGAACGACAGCTGTGAAAGACAGACTAGAGGGAGAAGATGTCCATGCGTTGCGAGGAATTGCGAAAGAATTGCTGCTGACGGTGTTTCTCTCTTCTTCGTACTTCCTTCTTCGACCTTTCACTCTTTACGAACACACATCGCCTTCGCTACCGCTCGCATGCTCTCCCTATCACTCTTCCGCCCCTATCGCCTACTTATTCTCGGTCTCGAATGTCTTCTCCCACAGCGCCGAAGCTTTCATTGTCGCCTACTCCGGCCATCTCAAGCGGTCGGGTAAGCTCGAAATCCCCCAATGGGTCGACACGGTCAAGACCGGTTCCCAGAAGGAGCTCGCACCTTATGATCCTGATTGGTTCTACGTCCGAGCTGGTGAGTCTGACTTTTCATGACTTTTCATTGTTCGTCTGCGGGGAATGTGATATAGATTGGCGAGGGATTGGATGAGATGAGATTTCGGAGACAGACCTGCATCTTCACGGACGGATACTAGGGGGACATGTGCTGATCATATCAGCTGCCATCGCTCGTCACATCTACCTCCGTAAATCATGCGGTGTTGGCGCACTCGCCAAGCTCCACGGTACCAAGAACCGACGAGGAGCCCGCCCAACCCACCACCGAGACGCTTCTACCGGTGTCCAGCGAACTGTCGTTCAGTCTTTGGAGAAGATCGGTGTGCTCGAGGCTGCCCCCGATGGTGGACGTAAAATCTCTCAGGACGGCATGTGAGTTACAAAACATTCTCTGGCTGAGAGTGAGTCCGTGCTGATCTTGCTCGTTAGGCGTGATTTGGACCGAATCGCCACTGCTGTTCTAGAGGCCGAGCGTGCCAACGAGGAAGAGGAGGAAGAAGAGGAGGAAGAAGAGGAAGAGGAGGAGGAGGCAGAGGACGAGGACGAGGAGTAGGGTGCTGGATCCAGATGTAGGTATACGGGTTTCTCGTCATGAGATCTGTGCATTCCACTTTTTATCGCCAACCGTATGGGGTAGCATCAATTTGGCTTGATCCGGCGTCCTTATTGACTTCAGATAATCAGTGAAGCTCTGGACGGGAAAACGACGGCGCATTGCTTGGCTGAATCGCTCCTTCGGACCAGTATGATCAACGACTCGTGTAGTACTGAATACATTAATTGGTGCCGCTGCTCATTGTCTTTCTTTCTAGCCCTTGAGCTTGACTTAGGTGTACGTACTCAATTGGTCGACTATTACATGAACAACCTTCACAAAAATATATTATCTACTGAACGACTAATCATCACTAATAGCCATTCAAGTCATCCTGACAACACAAGGGTCATTAACGTGTGAACCCAAGCCTGCATCTAAGCTTATGCCCATTTTTCCTCCGCAGCAAGAGCAGCTTGGACTTCTGGCGTATCCTTGACTTTTTCCCATACGGGTCTAGGCACTTCCATGGTCCTGCTCCATCAGCTACAAGAGCGACCAGACCACAGAGTAGAATTGGTATGAGGACGACGTACTGTGTAGTACGGCCATAGCTTATACCTCCTAATCTTGACATTGGTCGTAATTTCTCTACGA